GCGCCGCGGGGCCTGTCCCTGCGAGAGCCCAGACCTCCTTGGGCAGCCGCGGCCGTGCTGGTGGAGTTTGGCAGCGTGTGGGGGTCTGGAGTAGCCATGGCGCCCCGCCTCGTGGTGACCTGCCGGCACGTGGCCCCTCGGGAGGCGGCCAAGGTCCTGGTGCACAGCGCCACCCCCAAGTAAGGCTTTAGGGGCTGCCCCACTCTCACCCTCCCTGGGTCTCGGGTGTGAATTCCGCCCTTCCACAGCTTTGCGCACACAGTGTAGGGCCCGCCCTCACCCTTAACGCCCAGAACCGAGCTCCAAGCACCTCCGGAATTAGGAGCTTTGCGACTACAGCATGCAGGTGGGAGTCTTCGAGCTCCCTGTGGTAGTCTGAGTTCATTCTGGGCAGTTTCTCCGCCTCCTAGCCCTACACCTCACACCACTCAGCCCTTTGACCAGAAATTCACCAACGCCCTCTCCAACCCTGAAAGAAGATGAAGTTTCTGGGGCCAAGGATGCTACCCTCCTGGGCCAGTCTTTCACAGGTTATTTGTGAGATCTTCGCCAGGCTACCCTCCTGGATGGGAATTACAGATGTGGACTCCCCCTAATTAGAGTGCAGGGCAGATATGCGTATTTTGGAACAATGTTTGGTTTGACCCTGGTGGGCAGCCAGCTGGACTTTGGGCAGTCACTTGTACCCTCTTCTGGGAAAAGCACCTTTGCCCTCCTTTACTTGCACTTGCTCTGGCAGTGGGGACAGTGGCTTTCTCATACGTGTTCTTTTCTCTGATGCCTCAGAGGCTTGATCAGGCCCAAGCTAAGCAGTGGAGCACGTAGTGTTAACACCCAACCTTTCCCTTACCAGGCTCAAACCCAGCTGCCGCCCAGGCCTTTGCAGATCCCTCTTAGCCCAGCCCAGCTTTGCCACAGTGGTCCCACTGGTAGCTGGCAAGATAGCCAGGATTTTATAGGGAAGACTCATGAGGATTTCCCTGTGATGTGACCCTCAGCTCCTCACCCTCCCACCACTCGTGTCTAAGGAAACCACCAGGTCTGCTGGAAGGAAGGTCCCCCTGCAGAGCATAGTAGGATGCTGTTGTGTGATCCTGGGCGAGTCACGTTTTGTCTAAGCTGTCTCCCTGTGAGTTCACATGTAACATCTTGGTCTAGAGCCTGGCCCGTAGTGTGCTGTGGAGGAGCTAGCACGTATGCGAACAAGGACCCAGAGGTGTGGAAGCACATCATGCCTGCTCTGGCTCTGAACGCGTGCTCTGTAACCTTGGTGTGGTTTCTTACCCTCTCTGGGTCCCCGTTGCACCATCTAAACTGAAGATAACACCGGCGCCTAGTTTCAGGCTTATAAAGATTAAATGAGGGGGCTGGGGATTTAGCTCAGTTCTGATCCCTGCCTCGCAGCCACAAAGGCCTGAGTTCGATCCCTGGTACCAAAAAAAAAAAAAAAAAAAAAGATTAAATGAGGTGATGTCCACAAGGTGTCAACTCCAGGCCTGGCCCACAGGGTGCACTAGATGTCAGGTGTGCATTTTCATGGTGAGGTACAGGAAGCTTTGCCATGAAATACTCTGCAGTTTGGAAAGTATGTTTGGTTAAGTGACTCGCCCAGGGCTACCTGGGTGGTAGGTCTTTGAGCTGACACCCAGATATTCAGACTCAAATCTGTGACTTTTACTGTCACTCTCTTCTTGCTTCCTCCCTGGTGCTGAAGGACCACAAAGCTAGCCTGTCATTTGTTTCCCTTGTTCCCAGGAGTGTGGCGATTTGGGGATGTGTGGTGTTTGCCACACAGGAAACTTCTCCCTACGACATAGCGGTGTTGAGTCTGGAGGAGGACCTAGATGGTGTCCCCACGCCCGTGCTTGCTGAGCATTTCCATGAAGGTAAAGGTCAAGGGACACAGCTTGAACGAGGAAATCTCTGGTCTGGGCTGGACCCTGGGAAGGACAGTCAGTGTTGGACATGTATCAGGCCAGGCCAGGTACCCGCTCCTGTCCCCATCCTTGCCGAGGCAGGGAGTCAGGGTGGCAATAGCTGGGGCTCTTGTTAGAGGCCTCCCCACTGTGGCAGCACAGCCCAGGGGTTAGGGTCGGGTGGGGTGCTGGGCCTTGGTGGGCTCCTGACACTTCGGGCTGGTCAGAGGAGCACGTGGCATCTTTGAGACGTCATTTAGTACAGGGCTTTGAGATGCTGCCATATAGGTACTGGGTGCCGTTTGCTGGAACCAGTGTGCTATGGTGATGAGGGAGGACAGGAGCTGCTACCTGGTGTCCTTGGATGGACCACTCACGTTCTTTCCCTCAGTTTCCCTGTCTGTGAAAAGGGCTGACATGCCTTTCTTCCGGGATGCTGAGGACTGGGAGAGGAGGGCCTGTATTGTGCTTAGCGCCATGCCCTGCTCTGCTCCTGCAGAGCATTTGGGGAAGGAAACATTTGGTGGCCATCATCACTGTTTCTTTTCAGCAAGATTCTCGTTGGTCCCAGAAGGATGCTAAACATTTCACAAACATTTATTGAGCACCTAGCTATTTGATAGGAACCCCAAAAAGTGACCGCTTTGTCTAGTCACTCTGAAGCTGTAGTCCAGCAGAGGCAGTGCTGGGAACTCCTTGGTGTCGGGGCTTCCTCCTGCAGTGGGGTGCTGGGGGTGCTCCGTGGATATGGCAGTGTTAGAGCAGAACCCAAACGGCAAAGAAGGTTTGGACTTTAAGAGAGGACAGGGTTGGGTGGGGAGTGAGGTCCCACTTCTGCCTCTTCCCTCCCTGGCAGGTACTGCTGTCAGTGTGGTTGGCTTCGGCGTCTTTGGCCAGGCCTGTGGGCCCTCCGTGACCTCGGGCATCCTGTCAGCGGTGGTGCAGGTAGACAACACACCTGTGATGCTGCAGACCACGTGTGCTGTTCATGGTGGCTCCAGTGGGGGACCCCTCTTCTCCACCCCTTCCGGGGACCTCCTGGGTAACTAGCCCCTTGGCCCTCTCCAGCCTCCCCACCCCACCCCATCAAGGCCTCATCCCGCCTGTGGACTGCCCCGTGTCCAGCCTAGGGAGACGGTGGGCCTCAGACCCAGAATTAGTTACCAGATTTTCTAGGCTGCTCTGCCTCAGAGGGTGGAGAGGGAGGGAGGGAGCCAATCTGGGAGGGAAGCGATCTAAGACCTGGGCCCTTCTCTGCCGCTAATCTGCTGTGCCACCTCAAGTGATTCAGTTAATCTCACTTGATCTCTGAAATTCAAGAGCTGGATTAGTCCAAGGGTCGAGAACTCAACAGTGTACAGAGGCCAGGCAGGTAAATGAATGAAGAGGAAGTGGAGGTGAAGTATCAGGGGTCAACTAGTGTGAAACCTGCTCAGCTGCATCAGGTTGTAGCCATGAAAAAAATGCGGCCTAGCATGTTTCAGAAGAAGCTGGGAACTTTTAAATTTTTTTCAATCATGGCCAGGTGTGGTGGCATATGCCTGTAATTCTAGAGTTTTGAGAGGCTGAGGCAGGAGAATTACAAATTTGATCCTGGTGTGGGAAATTTAATAATTTAGCAAGACCTTGTCTCAAAATTAAAAAGAAAAGAGAGGGCTGGGGATTTAGCTCAGTGGTTCTGCTGCCTGCCTCGCAAGCGCAAGGACCGGAGTTTGATCCCCAGCAACCCCACCGACCCCCCGAAAAGGAAGACTGGAAATGCAGTTTAGTGTGAAGGCTCTGAGTTTAGTCCCCAGCATTGGAAAACAAAATCAAAACAAGAAAACCATAAAATTAACAAAAAGGTTCTATTTTTAAACACTTGTAACTGAATTCTTTATTTTTTTTGGAGACAGTATGTCAAAATGTAGTCCAAACTGGCCTCACACTCACTATGTAGTCCAGGCTGGCCTCGAACTCCTGAGTGCTGGGATTACAGGTGTGTGCCACCATGCCTAGCAAGTTCAAAACAAAACAAAAAGTCATTTAGATATTTTTAAAAAGCAAATTTTGGGTCCAGGGATTTAGCTCAGTTGGTGCTGCCACCTGCCTCACAAGTACAAGGTCTCAAGTTCAATCCCCAGTATGTCCCAAAACAAAAAACAACAAAGTGTGAATCCATGTAGAAACCTCTAAGATTCTGTATGTAGCGTCACTTGGTTTTTTCTAACCTTTTTTATTCCTGCCTTTCCTTTATTTTCTCTACATTTCTCAAGAAATGTAGCTCTTCCTACTTACAATATTTGTATGTATTTGTCCAGCCACACATACCAACCATAGTATATATGTCTACTACTCCTAGTATACAAAGCAAGTAGTGTAAGAATTGCCAGCCCACATCGCTGTGACCTGTAGATGTAGCCAGTAAAGCAGAGGGCTTGAGTGTGCATGTGCAGTGTTCTTGTCTTTAGATTTAAAGTATCCAAGCAAAACTCCACTGTCCGAGGTACTTGGATTGTTACGTATTTATAATACAGTTAGAGTTACTTGTCACAGCTTTTCCCATGCCTATTGTTTCCCTGCATCCTGGTTGACTTTTAAAATCACCTATGTAGCCCTGTGAACGTAGAAGTAAATAGTGTTGTGTGCACAGAAGTTATCAGTCACAGTCTGTCTCCCAGCTCTGTCCACTGAGGGCTGGGAGCAGTGACATCCCACTCAAAATGAGCGCAGCTAGAACTCAGCTCTTGGGGTCTTTTTTTTTTAATGGTAACTGTTTAATATTTTTTTTAATTGAGTTTATTGGTACAATCTAGGTATACAATACAGTTACATTCATCATTGGGATTCTGTACCTTTACATAATAGGTCTTGATTCTCATTTTTTCCCCTTGTCCCTGCCCTCCCTTCACTCCTCCCTCCCCTCCCCATTTACAAACACTTTATTTCCATTTTTTCATTTTTTTTCTTTTCCT